AGATCCTCTGGAACTGGAGTTACAGATAGTTGTGAGCTGCCTTGTGGGTGCTGGGAATTGAACCCAGGTCCTCTGGAGGAACAGCCAGTGTTCTTAACTGCTGAGCCATCTCTCCAGCCCTGTCTTCTTTCTTTCAGAAAAGACCTCACTATATAGGTCTGGCTTGTAAATCACACATCTGTCAGCCTCTGCTTTCTGAATGCTGGGATTGAAGGCATGACCCACTATGCCTGGCTGGGTTCATATTTTATTTTATATATATACACATGTATGTATATATATATATTCCCGTGGTCTAGGGATGTGGCTTGGTTGATAGAATGCTTTCTTGGCCCTAGGTTATATCTGCAGTATTGCATAAAACCAAGCCTGATGATACAACATTCAGTCCCAGCACTCAATAGCTAGAGGCAGGAGGATCAGGAGGATCAAGGTCAGCCTGACTATAATCCAATTCTGGACACCACAAAATCAATAAATAAACACATAAATTTAAAAATTCAGAGCCAGACAGTGGTGCCACATGCCTTTAACCCCAGCAATTGAGGCAGAGGCAGGCAGATCTCTGTGAGTTTAAGGCCAGCCTGGGCTACAGAGTGAGATCCAGGACAGCCAGGGCTACACAGAGAAATCCTGTCTCGAAAAAACAAAACAACAATAACAACAAAAGCCATAAAAATCCAAGCCAGGTTGTGGTGACTCACACCTTTAATCCCAGCACTTGGGAGGCAGAGGCAGATGGATCTTTGAGTTCAAGGCCAGCCTGGGCTACAGAGTGAGTTCCAGGATAGCCAGAGCTACACAAAGAAACTTTGTCTTGAAAAACCTAAATAAATAAATAAAACTAAATAAATAAAACTATAATCCTGATACTGATTTGGACTAATGATTTATTCTTTCCTCTGGATAAAAAACCTTGATGAAGTTTAAACCTGGTACTTTCTGAGGAATGGCACCAATTGGCTCACATAGTTCTGTGACAGTGGAGAAGGCAGGTACCACTCCCCCTTTAACAGCACAGCACGTGCCCGTCTTAGAGATGAGAAGGCACAAGGCCCAGATGTACACTCAGCACTCAGCACTCAGCCATAGGATTCCACAGATGGACAATTTTTATTCTGTTCAGTAAAAATGTTTGGGATTCTTTTGGTTGAAAGTGATGGAAATTCAACTTGAATTGGGTCTAGTGGAGCTGATCCTGGAGAATTACAAATGCCTTCTAGAGGACATGTTTGAGCATGCCCAGCACAACACTGTAAAAGAGAAGGGTTAGAAACCGCCCCATGCTGACCAACAGGTAAGTGTCCAAGTAAAATGAGAAATGGCTATTGGGCCAATAGATAAAGCAAGCAGAGTTCAGTAAGAGCCAGCTGATTTGATTGCAATCAAAAAGGTTAAGTTGGAGCTCCATGTGAGATCAAATCTAAGATGGAGTTCGTTTTCATTGTTGAAGGTGATTTTGCTCTGTGACATTGTAATTCAGTAAACACTGAATTAATAAATATGGAATTAATTCTCTTATGCAAAATATAGGCATGATTGGTTGCAGTGTGCCTTTGGTTACCTGACATATTTGTCAGCTGGTCAATATAATCTGTCTGGAGCCAACAAATTTAATATTATGGTTGACTCACTACCCTTGAGTTCACGGCCAGCAATGACCCTAATGCATGCTTATTGAAGGATATTTGATCACGCAGTGAACCCCATGATTGCGTTATTTACTGGAAAAACCTGCTTCTAGCTGTGGTGTGGCTCAGTCCTAGCACACACCTTTAATCCAAGAGCTTTCTGTTTGAATATTGTAAATAGGATTAAATAGAGTCAACCATAGGTCAAGAGACGGAGCAAGCAGCCAGTTGACAGGAAGTGAATTCAGGATTATTAAGAAAAAACCATAGAGAGTAAGAGGGAGTCAGGAGGGCAGACAGAGAGACGCGCAGGAAGGAGAAGGGAGGGGCATTGAGTTTGAAGAGACTTGTTTTGAAATAGTAGGAGAGAGGAGGTGTCCGGGACGATGGTGGAGGAAGAAGTCAGCTGGGTGCTTTCTCTGAGCTAGCAGACATTCACCCCAGGGTCTGGCTCCCAAGGCTTTATTGGTAAAATTGAATGACTGAGATTTTGTTAAAAATAACACATTCTAAATTAACATTTATCTTAATATATTCGTTTTCCTAAGAGGGCATGTCATAGCTTTTTGTACTTAGTTGGTCATTTCAGACAGGAAAATCACCTACAAACCCCACGAAAACATAAAAAGTGCAGTGCTGCCAGACTGTGAAAACAGTTTGTTGCAGGGTTGTCCAAATCAGGGGACATACCACCATTACCTCTCAGCCACCCAATGGACGCCTGTGAAAGCGACGCTTTGATCGGGAGGTGCAAGCACACTTCAGTGACAGGCGAATTCACAAATATGGAATCTGTGGATAATGAGGATCAACTGCACATGGCCTCCATTTTAATGTCTTTGAAATTGGAGCACATTTTGGATTCTGTAAAATACAGTGCTTGAGCCAGTACAGATGGAATTTGTGATTAATGTTGAATGAAAAGCCAAGTCAATAGACAGACATACATATAGGTCTAATTATGTTCCCAAACATGGAAAATAAAACACCATGACACTGTGATAGACAGGTGGCTCAGCAGTTAGGAGTGCTGGCTGCCCTTCCAGAGGACCTGGGTTCGATTCCTAGCACTCCTTGGCAGTGCCCAGCCATCTGTAACTCAAGGTCCAGAGGATTAGATGCCCTCTTCTGGCCTCCTCAGGCATCAGGCACACATGTGGTGTTCAGACATGCATGCAGGCAAAACACTCTCACACACAGAATAAACAACAACAAAATACCCATAAAATGATAAGTGATCATGCACACTTTTCCTTTGCCATGAAATGGTTAATAGATATTAAGGCACCGTGCTGGCCGCTTTATCAAGTTAGTTCAGTTAACCCTCACACGGCCTTCATGAGGTTGGTGTAATGTTTGTAATATAAAGAGATTAAATTTTTCTCAGGGTCACAAAAAGGTCACCTATTTCTGCTTGTAGTAAAAACAGTTGAATTCCACTACAGCTTTCTTATGTGATTCGTATCCTAACAGGAGCTAAAACACAGTTATGAGCTCAGAACAATATGCTCTAAATTGTGCTGGCATAAAATAGAAGTTTCATTCCCTATCTCGTATATTGCTTTCTGAGAGTTTCTATTGCTGTAATAAACCCCATAACCAAACGCGGGTTACAACTCTCAGGTCAAGATCATCACTGAGGGGAGTCAAGGCAGGACCTGGAGGCAGGAACTGAAGCACGCAGGTGGAGGAATGCTGCTGGCCGGCTTGCTTCTCATAGCTGGCTCCTTCCTCCCTCCCTCCCTCCCTTCCTCTCTCCCTTTCTTTCTTTTTTGTTGTTGTTTCAAGACAAGGTCTCACTGTGTAGCCCTGGCTGTCCTGGATCGCGCTCTGTAGCCCAGGCTGGCCTCAAATT